GGTACACACCCCCCTTTCTTTTTCTTTTCAGCTATTTAAAATTTGTAATTATATTTAATGACATTAATGTTAGGGTCCCCCTTAATGTTATGTTACCTTTTGCAAGCTGGTGATCTTGAGCGACCTCATGACTGCCAGTCTGTCTTTCTCCGAGATAACCACCTCGTGGGTGAACTTCTCTGGCTTGGCCAAGGTCCCGATCCCGGTCAAAACCACCTCGAGAACCTCTGTGACAGTCCTCCGTGCCTTACATGTGTACTTGAATGACACGTTGGACACTCGCGCCTCGGCTATACCTTCGATGGGATAACGCCAGGTCAGCCCCGCATCTCCGTTCATTTGAACCACGACGGTGGCCCGATGATCGGCCATGTGGATCGGTCGGAAGGTGACAGGGATCTGAAGCAATGATGTGGCACTGAGCCACTGACCGTGATCCTTCTTCAGGAGAACTGAGAAGATGCCAGTCGGCGCAGTGGTCTCCAGGTGGACGGACACCACGATGGGCACGTGGAAGGGGTTCCGAAAGGGGAGCATGGCGGTCGATATCTGTCCTAACGGCCCGCAAATCGTGACCGTGGGCATCAATGACGGCTCGGTACCCTTTCCAGAGCACACAAATCGCCATCGCCCGACATGAGGGCTGACCAGTTCGATCAGCGCCGTTTCTTCCTGGCCAATTGACGACGGGGAGTAGTCGATCCTGGCAGTGGCAGAGCCCAAGGCGGGCAAGCTGAGCGCAGAGGGTATCACCGCAAAGTTGTGGAAGTTGCTGGACGTGGACCGTAATGCCGTCTCAATGGTCAACGGATTAACGACAGTGATGTCGTGCGAACACGTGGCACCAAGCTCGCAGGTCATTGGGGGAATGACGACAGGAGGAGGTTCGTTGACAACGAGTTCCAGCTGGTACCAGTTCTCCCCGACCTCTTCATTCCAGAAGTGAATGGACCCAGAATGTGTGCCTGGGAACAGAGGCAGATAGACCAGCTGGTACGGTTGAGAGCTGTTGGCGGCCAAGGCCATGGTCCGATCTCCGCTCAAACCTTTGCCAGAATGGACAACCTGGAACAGAACAGGATGCGGAAGAGGGTTGATGACGGGGATCTCAATGGCAACGGGGCGACGAACCTCCGCCTGGACCGAAATCTGTTCCACTGGTTCAGGAGTTGTGGACCTGAGCTCAACTGTGAACCAGATGGAATGTTCTCCTCCAGGGGACGAAGTAAACCTGATGGACCCTGAAACAGTTCCCGCCAGCCGTGGAGCCACCATCAGCTTGTAGTCGGCTGTGCTGCCACCTCGGACGTAACACGTCTCCTCACCGCTGATCGCTGGGACGTCAGATTGCACCATGTAGACAATATCCCTCTCGGTTGGGTTAGGTACCCGCAAGACTCGTTGCAACTGGCCTCCCGCCTTGCATTCGATGGACACGTGGGCCTCTGCCAGAGGCAGTGCTGCCACACCTCTCAGTGTGTAAACATTCTTGTCTCCTGCTGTTCCAATGTGCAGCTGCAGCTCTGCAGGTCAGTCAAATAACAGAAGATGTCAATGACAAAAAAGGGGCCACATCCTTCTGGGACATCTGGTAAAATTGGGGACCACTTACGCATCCCCCTCCATTAGAATTGCAGCCCACAGTAGAGAGAAGATTTGCATGGCCCCTGCGCAAGGATGACACACATAAGTCGAGAAAAAGGTCCGAATGAGAAAAAGGAAAAAGGCCCGCTTACCCAGCCCATCTGGCCGCTGAATGGTATCACACATGTGAACTGTCATTAGTAACAGGTCATGAATTCGAAAGCTCAGATGGATACAATAATAGTATAATACATTACGGACTACCCACCTTTTTTTTTTTTTTTATGAGGGAGAAAGGCCCACTTGGAGTGAAGAACATCAGGGTGCAAACGTTATCGTCTCCTTCTGTCCCGGGGATGGGTCCCGTTGCCCGGAATCTTCATTTCTGGCTACAGATACTTAGACAGACTATGAATACTTATGGCCAGTGCCAAAGGCTATACAAGAGCAAGAGCTCAAGTGGGAACAGGAACGGGTAGGCCTCCAGCCTGCACTGACAGGCTGAGCCTCGCCCCTGTAGCAAAACTCATCACCAGAGACGACATCCTCTCGAATTCTCTTTCTCCGACAGAAAGCTGCTGAAACTACAATGAACAATCACTAGTAGCTACACACGCTTTCAATCTTGCCAATCCAATGCCTGTAATGTCAGACTAGTACTCGCACACCCCTGCTGAATAGACAAAAAACTACAGTCAGGGGAGCATAGTCCCGTTCCTATTCCATTCTAGGGAGCATCGGTCCGGTTCCTATTCCACTGGCAAGTCAGAAAGATACTACTCACACACGCTCCTCCCCCTTATGGTGGGAAGGCCCGAAGGACGGCATTGATTACTTCCCGAGGGAAGGATGTACCACCCCTCACCCCTGCCTTAGTTAGCTTCATTGACGTACTCTAGAACTGTAGTGCTTCTCTATCTTAAAGCCCTGCTAATAATAACTACTTGTAGCCTACGTGTGAGGGCCATCTCTAGCTTGTCCCTCTCAGCTACCTGGGTGTTGGATTAAAAAAAAAAAGAAAAAAAAAAAAAAAGAAAAAAAAAAAAAGAAAAAAGAAAAACCGACTGATATAGCAAGAAAACTAGGAGGTTTGAAAGAGGAAATCTGGTCTGCGGACCCCGCAACAAGCACGAAGGGAACAGCCATTCTAATTCCCAACTCCTCCCGCCTATACAAGGCAGGCTCAATCTTAGACAAGAGGGCTGACCAAACGGAAGGGAGGTGGTGCTTACTCCAATTAAAATGGAAAGAAGAAAAGTTCATTCTCATCAATGTTTATGCACCCAACTCACCATCTGAGAGAAAGATTTTTTTGAGGAATATCGGAGACCTAATCCCACCAGTAACCCCATGCATCCTGGCTGGGGACTGGAATGCCACAATAGATCCACTTCTCGACCGTATCTCTCGTTCATCCAGCTCCCCCAATTCCTCGGAAGCGTGGCCAATCCAGGAAATGATGTTAGATCACAATCTGGTGGACCCCCATAAAACTTTACACCCGGATAAAAAGTCTTTTACCTTGGTTAAAAAGAATCATGCCAACCACACGGCCTTCTCACGCATTGAATATTTTCTATTATCTGAAAATTTGATGGGAGCTGTCAAAATTGCGGAAGTGCTTCCTTTAGCCCCTTACTCAGGCCTGGATCATAAACCGATCGAGTTGGTTATCTGCTTTGACCAAATGGTTAGAAAGGGGGCCAGCTTCCACAAGCTCAACAACTCCCTTTTACTGAGCAGACCTTTCAAAACGAAGTGTGCGACTGCTGGAACGATCAGAGGTTAGCTAGGTTAAACACTGGCCATCGTTGGGAATGGTTCCAGAAGAGTTATTCAAACCTCTCGGACACTGTGGCCAAAACCTCTAGAAAACTTGCATCAATCAGGAACCAAAGGAAGCAAGCTCTAGAATTTGCACTGAAAATCGCTGAAACCAATCTGACGAATAACCCTTCTTCCCCACTATATAACAAAATTTTCGAGAAGGCACGAGAAGAATTGGCGATATGGAAATGGTGGAACTTAAAAGGTCTACAAATAAGAGCAAGGATGTGTGAGTATGAGCTCAGCGACTCAATGACAAAACATTTCTTTGCCCGTATCAAAGCAAACTCGAGAGCCAACAAGATAGAAGGCCTTAAATCACACGCAGAGCCCGAAACGATAAAAACAGATAGTGAAGGAATGCTAAAAATAGCAAATAGCTTCTACAAGGACCTTTACCACTCCAAAACCGAGTCGCCGATATCCACAAATGTCAGGGAGGCAAGACGCAAAATGCTGCTCTACCTGGAGCAAACAATATCAACAGACCAGGCTGAGACACTCGACAAACCGATCACATCAGATGAATTGCACCGAGCCCTACAAAGCATGAATAACAATAAGACCCCAGGTATCGATGGTTTAACAAAGGAATTCTGGGAAAAATTCTGGCCCATGTTAGGAAGTGACCTGCTAAACTTTTACAATGATAGCTGGTCTAAGGGTGGACTAGGGAATCTACTCAGCAGTAGTGTGGTAACGCTGCTTTACAAAAAAGGGGATAAAGTCGACATCAAAAACTACAAACCTATATCACTTCTGACTCTTCCTTACAAGATTCTGGCCAAGATCCTATCTAACCGGATCCTCAAGATCACTGACAAATGCTTCCACATCGACCAAACAGGATTCATCCCGGGTCGATATATTTTACACAATGTGATGACATTGAACGAATTGGTAAGGAAAATTAGGGAAAGAAAAATAAATGTTGCCATCCTTTTCTTCGACTTTGAAAAGGCATACGATCAAGTTAACTGGGACTTCATGGAAGCAAGCATGGAAAGGATGGGAGTCGGTCGGGTCAGAATCCTATACAGAGATGCAGTGGGCTGCGTCCAAGTGAATGGTCTACTGTCTGACTGCTACCCAATATCTCGCTCGGTCCGCCAAGGGGACCCGTTGGCCCCGTCAATATTTCTCTTTGTAATGGAGGCTATTGCATCCTTCCTACGCAAGGATCCGTCAATACAAAGACTAGCCAGCACAGATATAGGCTCAGCCCATCAGGTGGATTTTCCTACAACGATCATGTTCGCAGACGACCTAACGGTCCTAATTAGAGCGTCAGATTCTTCCTTCAGAACTCTAGCAAAGGCAATGGAAGCGTTCAGACTAGCATCGAAAATGAGGATTAACTGGTGGAAAACAATTGGATGGTGGCTTTCCGAGGATGAACCCCTCCCGCTTCAAGGAGAGGAGGCAGCAATGACATGGCAAACACCGGACTCACTGACTCGCTATCTGGGCATTCTTATGACGAAGGAAGGGTTGGCACCCCAAATGGGCCCATCCATGCTAGCCAAACAAATCAACAAAATCGGGAGGTGGGGCCACACCTTCGCCTCCCTTATCGGTCGTGCACTAGTACCTAATACGTCTATTTTCTCAATGATGTGGTACATAGCTTCCATCTGGACAGTCCCCGACAACTCGGTCAAGGAGCTGAACCGTAGAGCCAGGGTGTATCTATGGACAGGAGACCCCAATAGAGACAAATGCATACCAAAGATAGCCTGGCACTACGTCACAAGAAGACCAGGTAATGGAGGCCTAGGAATTATCGACCCCGGAACAAAAACGAAAGCTCTGCAAATGAAATGGATAATTAAACTGCTGATGAAGCCGAATAGTGCCTGGAATAAATTAGCTTTAGACAGCATCAGATCCTTAGCCCCAATACCTTCCCCGAACGATATGTCTGGGCTGTTTTGGGTTATGAACAAAGAATGGGTGATAACTACAGGACGGAGGAATTGTACGAGGCACAACAGACTAGGCGACCACCGACCTCCCACGCCCTACTGGCCGGCTCTGCTTCGCTCATGGAGGAAGATAATGCCAAACAAAACAAACAAACCCAGATCTAAAGACGAAGTACTAAGGCAACCTTTATTTGGCAACGAATGGTTAACAAACGAAGCCGACAACCCACTYTTCCTAGAACAGAGGTGGATGTCATGGATCAATAACGGTATCTGGAAAATAGACCACTTGTGGATAGAGGACAAAAAAGACTGGATAACTGAACAAGAAATCACAGCCCGATTGAAAGGATGTCATAGACGAGAGACCAATCTCCACTACATAATCAGTCGCATTCCACAGTTATGGAAAGACATCCTGATTAAAGATGAATCATGGAAACCGGGTGAGTGGGGCCTCATGATTCAAGACACAGCGCCGACCAGGGCTATCAATTCTCCCACACACAGCAAGGTCCGCACAATAGGGCCACTTTCCTCTCCTTCCCGATCTCCCTCACCAACTCCGACATGCCCGCGATCTTAAACTGTGATATGGAGTCGTCGGTGTTAGACCCCTTCCTCCTCAGGAAAATAARAGTTTTAGGTAATTGGCCTAAATCAATAYTCAGACCASATACGGCAKTTAGGGCCTTGGAATTCGRCCCGGCGGAATGGGCCTGGACACCAAGTACCACCAGCATCTTCAAGACGAAAATCCCAATCCAGGATTACACAGTCAAACTAGGCTACAGATTGTCATTAAAAACCAAAAACCCTGATCCGATCATAAAGGATAGACGGCGAATCCTCGTGGGTCAGGAAGCGGATAAAATCACAAAAATCCACAGGGATAAATTCAAACGTATTAGACCAGTCAAGATTAGAAGCCTGCAATGGTTKATTGTCTACGCTGCCCTTCCGGTGAATCAATGGTTACACACTAGAAGAAAAAMCACAGACCCTAACAGCTCCGAGCTTTGCACAGTATGTACCGAAGGCTTGGTAGAAGATGTAGTTCACTGCCTAGTGCTCTGCAAAGAAGCCACTGAATATTGGGCCAGAGCTTCAGCACTGTTACATCTTCGACGCACACGGGTCCTACCGGACCCGACTTAGGGCCGGAAGGTCACATCAGGGCCTAAAGG